AACCTAATTAAAGCATAATGTGACTGACCTCTATGTGCTACCGAATGCAATTACTTATATTTTTCTGATACCATTGAATGGCACACTTCATATATTTTTACTTATAAAACTTTTGATCGCTTTTAAAAGCCATGAATCATTTTTCTTGATGTAGTTTAAGGAAAAATATTCCAATAAGTTTTATTTTGCTTTCCAAAAAGAAAACGCAAAAATGTTGAGATGGTATGAATAGTTTTGCAAGGCTCTGTAATTAAACTACAGGATGCATTTATGGACCTTCAATCTAAAACGACAACACATTATTACTGAGATGCGTGTTTGAGTCAGCCAGCTGCTACAGACAAGCTCTAACAGGTAGGCTTGCACAAGTTCTGCTGATAGCAGGCCTCTGTGGTGAATGTGTGTGAGGATAACAGCAGCGCATCTCATCAGTAAAAACCCTTGTACCGAAATCAGTGTCGGGCAGGTCTGAGCCGTTGGTGTAGCTGCCGTTGGGAAGATGTTTGCGGCTGCTGCTGTCCACGGCGCAGGCCTTGGCTATGGACTGCACCAGATGCTCGTCGTCGGCATTCCTCCATCCCCACCAGCTGACTTCTGGCTGGCCGCAGCGGGCGATCACAGCGCCGGTGCTCTGGTGCCTGCATGGGAAGGGAAAAAAATAAAAAACATAAGCCATAGATTAAAGAGCTAAACATGGAATCTATGATTTTATCAAGAAAACTGTATTTACAGTACTGCTATGAATATCCACACAAGTTAGAGTCAATATTCAAACACAGAGTAGCTTGGAGACAATGGCTGGGTGATAAAACAATAACATATATCGCCATAGAAACGTGATATTAAAAGAAAAAAAAAACAACCGACAGAATGTTGATCATGTTGCTGAACTCTGATCCAGAACCCCAAGGCATTCTGGGGGATGTAGGCAGAGGAAAGGCTTTGCCTGCTCGACCTCTCACAGCCAGCTAAGGAAGGTTGGTGGCATCAACTAAACTCACTCACTCGGGTTACCTAGCAACAACCTGCTTTACATGTGCAGCAGCAGGTTCATTTTGCCCCCAGCAAAAACAAAAGAAAAAAATAAACGGATTTGGGTCACTTCAGGCTGCAGTGTGAATGTAGCCATATTTCACAATGAATTCACAGGAAAGTCAGTTGTGAGGAGGGGGGTAAGACACCTGCACCACCAACACCAACGCACAGGCGTAAATGTATATTTAACACAAAAAGCTAATCAAAAATTATCTATATCGACAATTATCTATGTCACAATAAGCAAAAAAGATATTTACATTAAAATGAGAGCAATAATTTTCATTCGGAAAACAGTTGTTAAAGAGACCCTCCCTTTAATATCATTGAAAAGCTGCCGTTGTGAGAGACGCTGCAAAGATTTGACCCCTCGTGTAAAGTAGTTGGTTTGCACCACCTGACACTTTTTCTTTCTTTTCCTGTCTAAGCTTAATGACTAAAATTGATTATGAAGTCTCAGTAACCAAAACTGCATTTCACAACGTCATAAATTATTGTTATTTTGGTTGCTTTATTTGTTTATTTTGGATTTTCTACATGCTTTTCAGTTCGAGTGTTAGATGGTCTAAAGGCACTGGAGCTCTGAGAGGAGATGTCAGTGTTTTATGAGCAAAAATTAAAATCATCAGGCCATGGGGCTACGATAAACAGCCATAAAGACTTTATCTTACTCTTAACCACCTAAAGAAGATTTTTATTTCTGTAACCTGTTTGCAGTCTGATATAGAACCAGAAAGATTTCATCAAACAACTCCATCAGGTCTTTCACAAAGACAGTTTCTGTGCAGCAATGAATAAATTAAACAAATACGGTTCGACAGAAGAAATAAACAGACTGACCTGTAAACCACGGCAGGAAACCTTTTCCAGGAACGGAAGGCGGCCACATTTTCCAGCTCCTTGTCAGTGATCCAGGCTGGCACCAGCAGCTGCTGAGGATAGCTGGGGCAAAGCCTGGCAGGATGGAGGGCCACAGAGAACAGAGTTAAACTAGGAGGGGCAAAGTGGGCCCCCCACCGACTCAACAACAGGCTCTGTCTACAGTCACATAATCCTAATCTGGCTCCTTATCTACTGAGGGCTGCAGCACCAGCGGGATATAATAACACAAATCCACAGAAATGCGTTGTTGGTCAGAGAAAGCAAAAAGACAGGATTGTCTTGTGGACATCAACACAGCAGCAGAATCCTGAATGAGAGCCTGTTTTTCTTTTCTTTTTTTACCTGAACTTGCTGTTGATGTCCGATATCCTCCAGGCATTCTGAGTGTCAAAGCCCATCCTCTCCACCTCGTTCTTGAACCACGAGGTCACATGTTCTCCTGCAAAAACAAAACGAGAAAAAAAACTAGGTGATGCCCGATAAGCGGCGGGCTGAAGGAAACCTTCCTGCGAAGTTTGGGAAGAGACGCAGAACACAGCAGCGCACCTGGTCTGCACAGCTCGCCGTGCTGCTCCTTCTCCCCGGCGTACACCTCCATGCACCAGGCGTGGAAGGCGAAGGAGAACAGGTCCTCCAGGCGGGACGGCGGCCGGACGACAGAGTTTAAACGCTTCAGCCACTCCTGGCACTGCTCGAAGGTGGAGAACTGACACCTGGGAGTTCAACGGGACACCAGGTTGATTCCATGACAGGGTTTCTTCACGACTCAAATTTAAGACTACGAATGAATTTTAAGCCTTGTTTTACGACAGAAAGGTGCAAAAGGAAATTTTATATTTTATAATGTAGTAGTGACAAGCTTTATTGCACAGAACACAGGGGGTTGGCAACAGAAGTGAGTCAGTGGTGAAGACAAACGTTGTCCAGCCAACTGGCAAGAAATTCACACTTACCAATGATAAATTCAAAAACTCTAGCTAGCTAGTTAGAGTTAGCTTCAACCTCTAGCTGCCTCAAGTCACAGAACAGAAAGATGTCTGTGTGCAATTTAAACAACAGAAAAATCTCACAAGATAAATAAACTATCAAAATGTACTTTGTAATTTAACGCCTTGATGTTGGCACTCGTCTATCAACCCTTTAATGACGTTTTCATCAGAGATGCACTGAGGAGCTCAACAAATGTGCAGTTCCAACAGGTGTTTGCTAATTGCTGCTGGCTAGTCTTAAGGAGCTGAGTGGGGGAGTCGTTGGATAGAGGCGCTCTGTGAGCAGGAGACTCAGAAACTGCAGATAAAAAGAGGAGCTTTGTCTTCCAAGGACAAAATGACTGGGTGGCTAGGTCCACCCAGTCATTTTGCCGAGATGAATGGTTGCCATGGAGATTAAAAAAAATTCTCAAACATGCATGAAAGAATCAAAGCAACACTCCAGGTATGTTTTTGATGAGGGAATAACATTATAACATGATGGAAAGCTAAAAAAAAAAGTTAATTTTACATAATACTGCTCCTTTAAGACTTTTAACACAAAACATATTTTGCCAATGTTTAAATCTTAACCATATTTCACGTTGTAAAATACTAATAACAATCCTGCTGCAATAAAGCTGGAAGGGGTATAAGTGGTGGGGGTATTAAAGAGGGAATGTGGCCTCAACCTAGAGAGACTGCCAAGGAAAAAACATTTAACTGCCTCCCACGAACAATTGAGGAACAGGGAATATAAAGAAGGGATACTATTTTTTTTTCCTGACCATTAATTGGGTTTCAGTTCAGAAAACTCATAAATCCAGGCTGAAGGCACTGGACTCCAACATGGAATTTGCTGGCAAAATTAAAGGAACAAAATGGACCACGCACCAAACCCTGCAGGTCTGCATGCTGGAGGTACAGAGTAATCACTGTTTCTGACATATTAAAGTTTCCAGATTTTTGCCCTATTCACATGTAGGACACAGCCGAATTTTTATTTGTTTTTTCAAATCCACTCTGTTTCCCATTAAATGTGTACTAATCTGTAAGAAAGTCAAAGGGTTTTGTGGCTCTCCGCAGTACAGATTTACTGGACAACCACCGATCCTGACTTTCTGTTGTCTTTATTAAAACGAAGCCAGCGGGACATCTTTAATTTCTTTGATGTTTGTTCAAAGATCAATCCAACTTACAGCGAATCACCTTGTACAGTGGACTGTGAGCCATCTCCTTCACATTTCACTTTCATTTTCACTGGTATACAACTTTTACGTAACCGTTATCTAAAATAACTGTTTTGGGGGGAAATAACTAGAAATTTGAAGACACCTCTGACACAGAATAATATCTGGACATGTATTGATTTTTTTAAAAACCGGGGGTGGGGGGACAAAACAGAGTGATGTCTTTACTGCCAGACAAACACGGTCTCTATCGTTACCATCAGCTGAAAACAAACAGCTGGCGTCTGAGAAATAAACGCCAGTCATCTGTAGGATCAAGCTAACCTTAAAGTGTTTTTTTTTTGTTTTTTTTAACTTTTCCAATCTTTATAAAAGGCTCCAGATTAAAATCCTCCTGTTTCATTTGGGAACAATTTTTCAACCTAAACGAAATACACCAGTAACTAACAGATGTACAGCGTTCCTATACATTTTTCAGATCAAAATTCCACAGTTTCTTGACTAAAACGTTCAGGGTTGAGAACAATTTAAGACTATTTTAAGCTTAAAAAGAAAATAATCACTATGGATTTACAGAAGATACTCCTACAGTAGTCAGGCTTTGATATGTGGAACTTGCAATAACAGGAAGTGGTGGGCAGAGGGACTGATGGATAAACTCTTATCGTCCAACAACATTGACTATAGAGCTGCAGAACATGACCAGCAGCGCTTTAAGGAAGGAATTCATGAGTTTTACATCGCTGCAGCAGACGCACCAATTAGTTTCAAAGACAACTGCAAGGGAAAGTCCTATATTCACATTTATGGATTCTTTATAAATCAATGAATATCTGATCCTCTCAAACACAAAAGAAACATAATAATGCATTAGGATCATTGCATTTTAACTGGAGAAACATATTTAGTTGGATTCTGAGATCTGAACTTCAGTGAGGAAAGTTATGATCCGGTACATCATGTCGATATTAATTTCTTTATATTCAAAGGTGCTAAAAGAACAGATAGAATTTCTTTCTCTGAAAAACAAAAATAAGAGAATGTCTCCTTTATGTACATTTGAGTTGAGTTTTACCTGACGACCTTGCAGTCCTTACAGGTGACATGAAGCTGAAACATGTCCCGACACTCCACACACTCAACCAACTGGAGGGGGACCTGTGAAGCCACAGACAGGAGGGGGAGAGCATTTCCTTTAAACTGAGGGGTCCATTTTCACTCTACTTAAAGCTTTGACATTTTTTTTGTCACATTACAACCACAGACTTAAACAAGTAGCATATGTTAGAAAAGTTAAAGCAATAACGGGACATGGTTGTCAAACTTTCTTACTGATTTAAACCAAAAACTATGACATGCATTTGTATTCATCCCCCATTAATACAACCAGCCTTCACCAACTCAAATTTAAGACTTTAAGACCAGTATTAAAGAAAAGAGAGACTTATCACAACATAAATATACAATAGAAAAGTATACATTTATATATAAACAAATGGTACCACTTGTGAGATTATAGATATTGTCAAGAAGACATTTATTACTTCCTCTGAATCCCCTCCCCCCCATTTGTCATCATAGTTATATCTGTGGCTCTTTATTCTCTTATGGTACCATGCTGTACTCCTTTTCCCTTTTCCTGTTCTCATCATTCTCTGCTGTATTTCCCTTTCATGGTAATGATTGATTAAATTAAATTCTTAAACAGGTCAGACTGGTGCTTAGCCACCGTGTTTAAAACACAAAACCACCGACTTCTGAGTTCCAATTACTGCTTTCAGATCAACGTTGATAGCAGTGGTGGTAGCGGCTAAAGCTTGCCCATGTGTGAGCTTTAGCCACGCACATGGGATCATAACTGAAATTTCTAGAGTCAGCTTGTGGCTCTTGCTAGCAACTTTGTGTTTCTCTAGACTCTACAGCTTTAACCCCTGTAGTGTCAAGCTTCCCTCACCCCACAGATTGCAGCATTATATATATTGGACAATCAAAAGCTACCTAACTTAGCTAGCTAGCCAGGGTATGTTAGCAGCTAGTTACTGGATTGTGCAACTGCTTCGAGTCACAAAATGCAATAAAGATATCTGGATGCAAGTCAAGTTTTTTTGTCAGAAGATAAAAATAAAAATAAAAACTCCTACATATAATATACAAGATTAAATATTCCTGACAAAATTTAAGAACTGTGATGAAAGTATTTGAGACCAACTTACTTTTTTATTAGTTTAAGACATTTTAAGGCCTTACTTTTAGACACATAAGGATGTGCTGACGCCCTGTTAACACTCAAAATAAAACGACGCAGTACCAATCGTAAAGGTGGCAGAAAGGAAAGGATTACCTAAAGTCATAATAAATCTTTGCTTACTGCAAGACATGCAAGAGACATAAACAGATGACAAAAACACCTTTGAACAAATTTGAGTTTTTAGCCAGAACTTTAATGGATTGAGTTAGATCAAAACATGTTCATGTATTTAAATGGCCCAGTCCAAGTACAGGCTTAAATCAAACCAAAAATATGTCATGACTTGAAAATATGGATGTTCATCTGATCAGGTAACGTTTAAGCCATTTTGCAAAGTATATCCAAAATGTGCACATTCCTGTCTCTGTGTGAAACATATTTTAAAAAGTCATGCATGGCATCGCCACAAAAGGCGGTTCCACAAAGTATTTGCCAAGAAGTGTGAGTTGGGTTAGGGCGTGGGTGGGTATGCGAATCTAAATGCACCTCACACTTTTCAATTAAAATCCCTGTAAAATATAGCTTGTGGTTGTAAAGTGACGAAACGCGAAAAAAAAAAAGTTGAAGAGTTTGCTATAAATCTGCTCTTATGGAGGAGATGAGATGAGAGACAATAGATACACAACACCCATTTGGATCACCAGCAAAGAGCATTTAAGACGTGTACCAATCATGCTCATGCAGTCAGAGCAGGTCGTGCGGCGACAGCAGACTGAAAATCCCTTTAGCAAATTAGTCAGGATCACTACAGTAAACGTTCATAGCCAAGAATTAACCACCAGCAGGGTGATGTTCACTTCAAATGAGCATGAAGGGCCATGCAGACAATTATCAGGTTACACAAACCACTCTGTCACACTGCAGTTGTTAACAGCATAACACACCACAGATCCCTAAATATACTAAGTCCTCTGAGGTGTGTGTGTGTGGCAGCACAAAAACATTATACACACGTAGGCCTGTCACAATATCAAAGTTTCCTGGATGATAAATTGTCCCAGAAATTATTCCAATAAATGAGCATTAAGTCATTTTGTGATAATTTTCAACTAATAATAATAATCCTAATGGTTTATTAGTGTAAGTATACCCACCCAAAGATAAAAATAAATAATAATTTCTGAAGAATATTTAGCACTGGAAATGGAAAACAGTTAAAAGATTCAAAATAAGGAAACAAAACAACAATAATTATAATGGATTATAAAGCATCTGTAACCAAAACTGCATTTCAAAAATTATCATTCAGCTTTGACAGGGAAAACAGGCAAAAGTGGCAGGCAGTGCGAACTCTCTCAAACCTATTAGAGAATCTCTTTAACCAGTGTTGTCTAAATGAAAATGATCGCACTCGTTTTAATTTATCGTGCAATAAATTCATTTGTTACGACTGGCTTACACATAAAGAGCTTGCTAATAAGTCCTCCTTGACACTGGTTTCAGTCATCACATCAGTTATAGGCAAATATAGTTCAAAGTACAGAACTGTCACAAGCACATAAAGCCTAGATAAGACCTGAAAAGAGTAGGAAGGCAGTTCTGCTACTTTATACTGAGCTTTGTTAATGAGTTAGGAGCTTTTCATGGTGGTGTGGCGGGCTTTTAGAAAAGGTGAGGCTAAAGTTTATGTTCTGACAGTCATGCATGACGGCCAGTCAGCCAATGTACAAGTCAGCTCTCATTACAAGAACACAAAAGCAGGTACAGTTTTGTTGATGGACAGCCTTCATCTTTTGTATGGACATCCAACCTTTTTCTTTTATCTAGTTTAAGGGACTACTTAAAACTAACATCTGCCGTCAAGCAATAATGCCTCCAGTCCCTGAGGCACCAGCTAGTTAGTGGGCAAGCACACAGTCAGCTCTACAGTTAAAATTCAACCACTCCACTCCATGCAGTTCTGCAGGATACTTACTGAAACCTCACAACAACAACTCTAAACCCCCACCACAAAAACAGAAAATAAAAACAAAAAGAGAACAGTCATGTAAGAGGGGAATGTCCATTTGTTAGCACTTTTAGCGCGAGCGCAGGGCTGCCATTACTGCATATTCTGGATGTTTCCACATCCTGCTGTCACTGTTTAATTCCTGTGCTGCAATCTGCATCTCTAATCTGGTAGTCATTGAAATTCTTCGACTGCTTTTCAGCCACTCAACTCGCTCACCTTGCTCCAGAACTTCCCACTGCTGTTTTCTGGGCCCTTACAGTGCTGTTATGTAACACAGACTCAACCCGACGTGTGTGAGGAGAACTCTGGCTTGAGAACTTGGCGAAAGCAGCAAGAATTTAAGAAGAAAGTTCACAATTTTGTTGCTGAGATTAGACTTTAAAAAAAAAACATTTTCTAAACCAATAAAGTAGGAAATATTTGGCCATAAAAAGTTAGAAACTTGTACACCTTTTTTTATTATGGAAAACCTCTGAGACCCGCAATAAACTATTCTTTTCTACTTTGTTTCAGAAGATTATTGCATATTTAAATAAAAAAAATAAAAGATTTACTACAAAATTACTTACCATTTTTCATTAGACAAACATAAATTTGGACACTGCTGTTCTAAATGGAGCCCAACATGTCTCAGCCCTGCTGTTATTTAATAGACAGATATGTCTAACTGATACAAAATGATGATAGAATACCCTACAAATTCCAATGGGGCCCATTGAAATTCATTAAGCATCACATACTCAAGTAATATTGTGTAGTATAACATTTTGTACAGTAAGCAGAAGCCATTAAAGCAGTTAAACAAGCAGGGCATTGATCCAGGCATTCCTCTGTGTGGCTGTGGAGTTCAGCACTAAGCCCATTCATAACCACCACACAGTAAAAACACAAAACAGTAGAGAACAAAAACGTTAGAGGGAAATATTCAGAATTAATTTGGTTGTTAAAGAAGAATGGAATTGGCTAAAATTAGCATTGTATCAGGATTAGCATTGTCTAAACAAATGCTCTTAAGGAAAGAGGTTGAGTTTTGGTAAATATTTAATTTGGTATCAAAGAAATTTGGAAGAATTTCATGTAACTGAGCAGTGAAAAAAAACACACTGATCAAATCATAATAGTCCATTTTTTTCTAGGAACCGCACTAGCTGCGTTTCCCTTAGCCATAAAATTGTGCAAATTGAAACTACAAAAATAAATTTGTTGAATGGGAGTGCCCCAATTATTTAAAATTAAAAAAACTCACGTTTTTGATAAAAAGTTTTGTGCTAGGATGAGGTGGTTTTTTGGCTGCATCATAACACATGTAATTCACAAAACTTTAATTATTTATCTATTTTTTAGCTTCCCGTCATAATAAACTATAAATTCCATGATTTATACTAACATGAAAATGAAGAGATTTCCAATTTAAACTACTTGTGCTGTGTGTAATGAAAACAAACCGGCCTGTCTCCTTTATAGAGTGAAAAGGTTGAGAGAGCCAAATAGAGGGCCTGACTGTTGTGCATCCCCTCTGGAGCAGCTGCAACCATAGCAACAGCAAGTCCAGAGAGGATGGGGGGAGTGGGGAGAAACAGAGGCTGCAGAGGAGCTGTGCGGCGCTGCTGCCGTTGGAGATCGGGTCTGAATGGCCTGGCTTAACAGGCCGGCTCTGTTCATTCACAAAACAACGTCACACACTTTCACACAGCCCCCAACACACACAATGCACATCGAACGATATTTTCTAATCGGATTTGCAACTTTAAAGCTTGTTGGAAACTTTTCGGACACACTTACGTTGACAACGGACTCTTTGAACTTTATGTGTAGGCGATAGTTAGACATTGCGATGATGGCGTCCTCTGCTCGCCCGACATACTCTGTGAACTCCCCGTGCAGCTCGGGAAAGGGCACCTAGCAACCGCAGGAGAGGGAGAGAGAAAGAAATCTGACATGAACTGCAAAGCCACACAGATCAGATCAGCAAAAATGATAACGCAAAAAGAACAAAAAAAAAAAAAAAAAACCCTGGTGACATTTGCAATGTCACCAAAAGTGTTTATAGTGACCATTTAAACTTGCTGACAATTTTAGCATTTGGTAGGAATTTTAAAATAGAAATATAACGAAATATCTGTTCTGTAATAAAAAAAGGGACTACTTTCAGAAATGAGCTTCCTTTTCAGACGTGTTATATAACAGCAGCTAATCAATTCGTCACAGTCTGTTATTTCCACAAGGCCAACATAAAGTTAGTGCTCCTCTGTTTCACTGAGTAATGGAGGAAACCATGGTGGAAATGCAATCTCTCAAAACTAACATCTCACCTGCTGCCGTATCACTTCTGATCACTTTCTGCTTATTGATTTCCAGCTAAGTTCATGATAATCATTCACATGAAGACATTTGAAAAGTAACAGTATGAACCGCCTTACATTTGCAAAAAAAAATTAGGGCACAGACCTTGATGGTTAATTAATTAATTACAGTGATCTTAATGCAGGAGAGTGTTTTAGTGCAATTATATTTTTTGAAATTTTTTTTTTAATACTGAAGTTCCGGCTGGAACTTTTGTAGTGAAGCATTTGTGATAAACGCAGATGCACCAGCAACGTCTGGAAACAACTACAATGGATGAGAAACCCGTTTCTGTTGACCAGGCAGCAAAAAGGGGGTTTTATTGAAAATGTGGCTAATTTCATAAATTGCAATTAATTCATTATAGACCCTGACATTAACTCGATTAAACATTTAAAATCGAGTCCCAACATCAAATAACGCATTACTTCTCCAAGTGATGTTTTTATTGCTTCATGAAAGAATCCATTCCACCTGATAGACACTAAAACTCCACTCCAGGTTTTCCTGGTTGCCTACAACAACTCAGGCAGCACAAAGTGAATTTCTAGCTCAGGCTGCTAAAAACTGAAAAACGTCAGTCCTATTGACATCTGACAATGCCGAGCTTGTGTCATGAACTAAGACATTTAAGGTAAGAAAATGCCATATGATAAGAAATTTAATAATAAACGCAGTGACGTGCAGTGAGGTTCATGGCTGGTGAGGCATCGACTTAATTATAATCGGATTTACAAATCAAAACCCTCTGTATGTTATTGTTTACATAAGGAAATATTGCGCATGTGTACAATGCTGGAGGGCAAAAAGACTATTCTTTAACATGTGATGCTTGTTAAAGAATCACATGTTTAATAATTCCGTTATCTCAATCAAACTTAGACATGTAGATTTTATTAATTTCGTGCTGTGCTTAACAGCAAAGGGAGAAACCGCTAAAGTACAACTCAAAACCTCGTCTTTCTCGCTCTCTGTTTCAGCGCAGCTACTGTATGGCTAGCTTTCAGCTCAAATATTGAATGCTTCTTGGTCACTAAATGGAGCCACCAAATAGTGCCAACAACACTCCTCACTGCAGAGGTTTCAACAAAGTACAAAAAAGTAATCAGTTTCATGTCTTAAGATGCTGAAATTCATCTGTCACTTATTCGGGCTGACAAAAAGTGAGAGAGTGCAAGACTTTCTGAACAGAAAGCAAAAAAACATTAACTGAATGCAGCCAACTTCATCTTTTTTTGGAGACATTTTGAGCTCTCACATAGACTTTAAAATTCAACTTGGTAATAATTTTCTTGATTAAAATATTTGCTATATTTACAGCAACCGCTAACCGCAGAACGATGTCGCCTCTGCTTCTAAAATACACTATTAAACAACATGAAGATGTTTTTTCTCTTGCACTGCGGCTTGTACAGGAAAACAGGCTTGAAAATCAACTGCAAAAGTAAAAGAGAGAAAAAAGAAAAATGTAGATCCAAAGTCCAACCGGATAGCAAATTCTCCTTTCATTGCTTTATTGTGCTTAAGTTGAGGGTACGCTTTTAATAACTCACTGTGGCAGTTATGTAATTGGCAGAAATCAACAGTGAGGTTGAACCGTTTTACAGCTTAAGATGATCAGTGAGGACACGGTGTGGCTCACCTGCATGTTTTCCTCCTCCAGCACTGGGGACTTCTTGGGGAAGATCTGATTGGCCTGGATGCACTCCAGGCTCTGCTGCCCCTCCTCCTCCTGCACAGACAGCAAAGCATGTTTATCTGCAAACTAACTAGTGTCAGCTTTTCAAAACCACAGCTTTCTTTCGCTGTCATATTTGTCTTTAGTTTTAATTTAAATTCGGAACATGTGACAGGAGATGGTTAGCTGAGTATTTCCTTCGCTGTTGCTTATCTACCGTCCAACACACACACACACACACACACACACACAGCCTTATTTCAGCTTTCTCTCCCAGTTAGGCGGCAGAAAGCATCGAGGTTGGCTTTTTAGATGACTAGTAAATGGTCAGCATGTCACAACGACCGTCTTCCTCTTTCCACCACAGCGTATTACACAACCGGGATGATTTTAAAACAACAAACCTTCATAGATAGAACCAACAAACACGACAGAACTCCCAAAATTATAAACTCAGAAAACTTGAATTAAAGAGGCTGAATTTTATGGCACTATTATGTTATCATCAGTGGTTGCAAAAAATGCTATATAGATCAAACGTGATTCAGAAGAAATTTTACTTTATAATTTAACGCCTTCAAATTGGGCATCTGTCTCTTTAAAAACTTCTTTCTGAAACACCGCCTTCAGGGACTCATCACAACATGGCTCCTCTATTAACCCTAGCTAGGTCCGTCCAGTGTTTTACAAGCTGAATGGTTGGCACGGGGCGATTAAAGAATTTCTCAAACGTGCATGAATGAATCAAAACAACACTGCAGGTATGTTTCTGATGAGAGAATAACACTACAGCGTGATGCAAAGCTCAATTCTACATAATACTGACCCTTTAAACAAATCCATGTTCTCATTTCAGAAGGGAATGCAGAATTTAAAGTCTTGGGGGGGGGAAAAATGATGGTGAAAGGAAAGAGATGAACGATAAACAGCAGTAAAACTTCCTGTGTGCTGCTGAGTCAGCATAAGCAGAGCTGTTCACCAATTGCCAATGCTATAGCATGAAGCTAAATCCAGCCAAAAGGACAGCACTTTACTATACTACTATAATTAAAGGGAAAAAAAACCCACATAAAACAAAAGCAGCTCAAACAGGAAATGCACATCCAGTCAGCAGCTGCCCATATCACAAAGCAATGATAAAACATTTGTGCAGTGGAAACTGAAAGCTGTCCTCAGAAGACCTTTGACACGTTCGGAGCTCATGCAACCGTCTGCCTCCTGATAACCAGAGCTGACTGAAAGCGATAATCAATGGATCGCTCCCACTGTGCAGATTGCTTGCAGGACATGGGACACGACAATTAGCATGCATCGCAGTAAACAAAGTGAGGATGCTTTACCATGGCCCCGGTGAAGGAGTGTGGGTCTTCCAACGAGGAACTCCGGCTCAGTTATGTCTGCTCAACACAGAAACACAGAGAGATACTTATAAACACTTCACATGGAGGGGCTCTTTAACAGGCAATCATTTTTAATTTGACTTATTCTGAGGTTTCTGGGGGTTTAAATCAGCAACTCTAGCTGCCTCACACGTAAAAGTGTTGCATTTACCCGTTAGTCCACCGTCATAATAAGGCCTGTCTGAATTGAAAAAACAAATTCAAATTGGGATAATTTGCTACAGATGTCTCTGTGATTGCTTCATGAGGTGGTTGCTGGTTATTGGTCTCTGGGTGCCGTGGAGGCCGAACTGTTACCGCATTTTCATTTTCCCACACTGACTCTAATCAGAGATCGCCGTTTGCACAACATCCATCATCTCTGTTAATTCTGGCCGTTTTATTCCAGACGTGTCAACTAGTGAACATCGGCTTAGAAACACTAAGATAACTGGAGATGGACGGTGAGATCGGCCCTGACTGCGGATCAGCAGACTGGAAACTCAAGCATTCGATCCGTTTCCCCTCAGTGAACACACCGTACCTGAGCGTTACCAGGTCATGAAAATATTCTTCATTGAGAAAGCTGATAGTGTGGACAGAAAGGTAGCTTTTTTTTTAGTATCAGAGGGGAATTTCAAATTAATTTAGAGGAAGAATTAATGGTAAAGCCATTTAAATTTAGCATAAATCTTGAAGATCAAACAGCAAAGTGGCTCCTTTTTATCCTTTTGTAGATTCAGTTTCTGAATCTGTCATGGATCTTGCTGATTTGGAAATGTTGCCTCTCCTTTTGGAAATCTTGCAGGTAAAAAAATTTTATAAAATGCTGAAGGAATAAGAGAGTGTGAAAGAAGAAACAAAAAGAAAAAAATTAAGTTAGAAATGTAAAAAGCAAACCACAAAAAAAAAGAATAAAAAAAGAATACACCGACGAAAACATAGTATTAAATAATTATGAAGTATGTCTATCGTAGGAGAGTGGATTATCGAGGAGATTTCATCCTCATTTTGGTCTCTATAAATGAAATCAGATCTTTTAAGTTTGACACAGTCTACCCAAATCTGCCACCAGTGACAGAATTGTTCAGTCCCGTCATTGAGAGGCTGTTATTTTTTCCATGTTATATGTTAAATGTTATGTCGATCCGGTCGTCTAAAGTTGGTTTGTCTTGTGTTAACCATTTTCTTGTAATGTTTTTCTTACTTGCTACTAATAAAATAGTTGTCAGATATTTGTTTCTTTTTGAAGCTTCTTGAGGAATTATGCCAAAATACGTAAGTTTGATCTCCAAAGGAATGTTCTTGTAAGGCACTATTTATCTCTTTCTTCCAGTAATCTTTTATAATTCGGCCGTCCCAGAAAACATGAGAATGGTTTGCGTTTTGATTTCTACATTTTCTCCAGCATGTAGGAGGATTTCCATCATAGTGGCATTTCTGAGCAGGTGTGATAAAGAATCTTACCAGATTTTTCATCCAAATTCTTGCCATTGTAAAGATTTATTATACGTCTCAATCATGGTTTTTAAAGAGAACTCAATCAGATTAAATTTGTATCAGCAGTTCAAAGTTTTATAAAAAAAAAAAAAATTAAAAAAAAAAGACAAATCAATAATTAGCATGAAATCTCAGGTCAGTTTGAAGATGACAAACAAAAATGTCAATCATTACAGATTAAAACTTACTGCAGAAGCTTGGCACGGATCAGTCTGCAGTCCTGGTTAATCTGTTCGGAAATTCTAACAAGGAAGACGAGGAAATCTGTGGAAATAAACAGAAACTGTGAGAAAATTTTTTTTTTTAACTTTTTAAATATCCTTATACTTACACAAACAGGAGGTTTCTTTACAAACTACAGGAGCCCTTTTGATTCTCTGACAAATATAGATGTAGTGGTGGTCACAGTGGCATGCATGTGAGCTTTGAGATACCAATTAAACTCAGATGTGGATTGGAGAAAAAAAAAAAAAGATGCCTGCTGGTGCCTAAGCCACCAAGTCCACGTCTGGCCAGCTATGAGTCTTGATCACATGAAAACTAAATTTATACAAGACTTGTGTGAAAAACCAATCAAACTGACTTCACACGTAGTTTATCAGCTACAGAATAGCAAAGCATGGATGGTTTAAATTTGGTTAGTTTCTGGTGAATTCTTATTTAAATCAAGACAAAAGCTTCCCACTCGCATGTGGTTCTGGTGACATCACACAAGGCATAGTGCAAGTCCATTTGTAACCTTTTATTGCTTCCTCCTCTTCTTCACATTATGTACTCTGTAGGCCAGTATTTTGTGCCAGACTTGAACACACTACAAGGATTTTTACCAAAAAATAAATAAAAAAAATCAAGCAAAAATAGAACAAATGGAGTCTGTGAAAAAAACCAGAATGGGAAGATTTTATTACAAAAGATCTTAACTGATAACAGTCAAGTTCAGGGATTCCCTCGGTGTATTATAAGCCTGGCGGGCCACCAAGCTTTACTTGCCACCCCACCGGACTAAGTGTTGTTTTCTTATTTTAAACAGGGTTTTTATACACCAGTGACACGAAAGACGAATTAAGCTAAGTTTTTAGCTGACAAATTGTGGACCAACTGCATCTGCCTGTTGGCCTCACAAGTTATTTCCAAAATATAATGTCTGCTCGTGCACATCCAAATTCTTTGTAACTTTTGACATTTTTTAACACAAAAACACAGTGCGCTGCTGGTGGACTGACCTAGTGCCCCCCTACCACCTCCAGTGAAAACGACCAGCTAGTATGACAGGCTTAAGGGTAAACTTAAGTATCATATGTAAACACGACACAAATCAAAACAGTACTGACAAATCATGTAACTACTTAAGTTGTTAAATGCAGAATAAGGCATCAAACGGTGGCGAGTACACACAGAAACCAATCAGATGGAAAACAATTCAGCAGAACCAAATATTGTGTCTTGCAGACCAATCCACAGAATGCACACAGATAATTTGCTTTTTCTTTTTCATTTAGTGAAATCATGCAGCAGAAATCCAAACTTGATTAGCCAGCCGTGGACTCATTGTCAGAGTGTTAGAGGGAAAACATGGACCACTGTTAGCAACGTTGAGCTAATTCAGCTACTGGTAGGTTTGTCACAATATAACAAGTTTTGCTGGACAATAAATTGTCCCAGAATTTACTGCAATAAATGATAACATTGTTTGTTTTAAATCATTTTCAAGTAATATAATCATAGAAGAATAATAATGCAAGAACACATTCTTCAAGATCAATAAACTTTATATTCCAGCTAATATTTCATGCTGGAACCAGGAGACATTTTAAATATTCAAAGTACATAACCAAAACAGAAAAAAAAGGAATTATGAAGTCTTTGAAAACAAAATTGTTCTTAAAAAAAGGGTTCTTTAACAGCAAAGCACCAGACTGAAGACTTCTGTCATTCAGTTTTTGGTAGAAAGCGAGAGAGAAAAGAGAAAAACAATAAATCATGTAAATGGAAATTATTGAGCTTTAATTTTATCATGCAATCAATTGATTCATTACGAAAGACGTAGTATTATTGGAGATTAAAATAAACTGACACATGGCATGGAAGACCTACCTAAAAAAATTTGCCAAACATAAAGCATTAGCTAAGTAAACTGTATTATTTTATAGCCAGGATGGCACAAATTATTTTCATAAAGAACAAGAACACAAATTCAAACATAATTACAAATGTAATTGCTATATACCGTAATGTTCTTTTACATTGCTGGAGTGTGTTTATATAGTAGTAACATTTTAAAAAAAAGAGACCAAACATCTTGCTTCTAAACAGGCAACCTGCTAGGGATATCTCAGCAAACAGCCCAACAAATAGCTGAAAAGGTCAGCTCCTACTGCAGAGACTGAAATCTGATCTAAGAGGGTCAGTGAATGGACAGCTCAGGAGCACAACACACCTACTCATAAACATTTAAGATGCCCAGGCAAGGGGAGGGAAAAAAAGAGAGAAACATGGAAGGAAAAAAAAACAGTCGAAATGGTAACAGATGAGCCCCTTAAACAAGGCCTCCTCTCCAAGAAGCACGCAAATGAGGTCATTACTTCATTGCTTTTACTGCTGGTGCTACCTGATAAAGCATATCTGACCAAGGCATGGTACGGCTCTGTTTACAGAGGAAGGCTTATGAGCAGAGCCCGGCTGGCTTCACTCAGAATCACACACGGAAGGATAAGCTCCGTTAGAGCCTTAGCGTTACTCCTGTCCCGTGACAAGAGCAGCAGCATCACTCCGCCTCCACGGTTTTAGCTAGTTGAGAAAGTCCAAACTGACAACCAGGACGGTGGAGTGAACTGACAACCGGCCATTAACGGCTGGACAGCGGTAGAAAAGCTTCGACTGAACAGATAAATGTTAAAAGAAGAAATGCTAGTGCACCCTGGGCTTTGTATGAAATGAGCTACAATAAAACCACAGTCGTTATTTTAATTTCTGAGCTTCAAAACACAAATTTGACTACGGAGAAATTATTTATTGACACCCAGGTAGCAGTTAATTCCACTTTTTAATGTCAACGTACTCAATTGGCGACGGAGAAAACTGTAAAATTATGACTGGTCTTCCTTCTCTTTGGGCACGCTAACTAACGTTAACATCAACAGTTAGCGAGCTAGCGTCAGGCAATTTCAGTTAAATAGTAGCGTAACACTAGAGCCTAGTCCTGAGAGGTCGTTTAAGGAATACCACTAGCTCTACTGACTCTTCAATGCAGTGTTATGTTGCGATGTCCGAGCGCTGGTTATACCACAGAACAGCCAGTAAGTTAACTTGCTAGCCTGTAGCTGCGGGAGCTAGCCACTCAGTGCGAGTGTTTTTGTTATGAGATGGAGGGCGGACCCCGGGACTGAGGCCTCTGTCAAAACACACCGCGGACGAGACCACAGCCGCTTGACTCACCAGTCAAAGGAGTGTTGAGAAGTCCACGGCCGAGGATTTATCCGAAGCCAATGGAATAACTGAAGAGCAAAGCAATCTCCAACAAATACGCATTCGTCATATCCAAGCCAAAGCCCCGCTTTCAATACGTCCCCTTCCAGCGCCGAGCCTCCGTCGCCATCGCCGCGAAATCTCCAGCCCGACAACATACGTGCCGGCGACGTTATTACGTGAGAGAGAGAGCAGACGTGAGGGGGCGTGGCTCAGAAACACCACGCGGTACAATAATGTAAACACTGTCATTACTGCCAAATTACCGCAAAAATACTAAGTGATGGTGAAGCATACAGTTCACGGTCAAGTAAATAAAACAACGTCATGTCTTGAAACAATTTTATAGAGTTCTATAGGAAAAAAATATCTATCTTTGCATCCTTTTTATGAGAAAATAAATACACAACACAGCAGGTCTTAAACAAAAATGTATTGACTGATGGCTTACATATGCAATTTATTTTCCAAGAAAATTGGCATACCATTGACCATTCTTTAACATCTGATAGGTTGACATGTGAGGCCTTACAGTTCATTTTAAACATTTTTGGAGCCTTAATTACAGGCAACCTTTAAACAAATTTTCTTTGGGACAAACCCTCAGTGCCAGAGTTGTAGCCACATTTTTTTTAAATAGTTCTTCCGATCGTCTACATTTTGCTTGCTACTTTCTTTTTAGTGACTAATGTCAATTATAAAGTAAAACTATTGAGTTTAAAGTTCATAATTAAAATCTAAGCTAGGCTTTTCTTTCTGAACTCGGTTACAAACAGCCCCACACAATAAATTCCTCTGCAAGGAAAAATGCATGAAACATATGATATGGCACAAAATAACCTTAATTTAAATATTAACCAAGAATTCTTGAGTTCCTGCTTTCGACAGATTTGTAATGATTCTGCAAGTCATATAAATCAGCTGCACCATGCATGGACATTGCTAATGTAAAAAGGACCTTAAGTCCGGATTCACCGTTCCTGTGTAAGAAGAATAACACAAAAAACAGTCTATATCCCCTTGTCATGTGACCAGAATTAATTGCATGCAAAAACAATTAGATGATGTTTACATGAGAAGATCACGATCAGGGTAAATACATTTCTTTTCACGTGACCATGTTAATATGAAAAACAATGACGTTTTATCCATAAGAAAATCTAATTAAATCTAATCAGAGTATATTATGCACAGAATATGGTTGCTGGAAAAGCGGCACAAAAGCTTTTCCGACTCCGAGAGGAAAATAAAACTGTGTCGTTGGAGAGCAAGTCTGCTGATCTTAGAAAAAAAGAACCCAATAAGCCTCCTTCTGGTGCTTCCAGTCTGCGCTGTACTTTGACGCACATCTGCGTGATTAATTACAAAAACTGCATCGGTTCTCCAAGCAAACCGCGACTTTATATGGGACAGCTCAAACTCCAGTAACCATACAAGATCCACATCATTTATTGACGAGCATAACAGAGTCATTCTCTACACCACATGTTTATCATGATCACCATCACCGATGAGAGCAACCGTTTCAGTAAAGCTTTTAAAAGCAAGACTACCCTGAGAGAAGGTCTAAAACGTGGGCAAGCTTGCCAGACAAGAACTGGCTCGACAGAGTTTGGTTTATTAAAATCTGTACACTATATCTCAATATATTCAGCACATTTTGTCCCGAGGATGTAGGGTTATTTTTTTTAATAATTGTGTAATATATAGCTCTACATAATACAATCCGAGTCCTCTGAACTATGTAGACATGTGCAAGTGTTTACTACCAAATCCAACAATACAGTAAAGGCAAGACTTGTGGACGCTAAGTAAGGATGACGCTCATACTGGAAAATTTATCGGAGTTCCCACAATTATCAAAAATCTAAGTGCTGCAAGTAGTTCATACAGGAGGTATTGGATATCTAGGTAAGTGTTCAGAGTATAAAATAGAGGCAAAATACATAAAGAACATCCTGCAAGCATGACAAAGAAACGGCTACAGACACAATACACGAGTGGTCAAATATAATATGAGGGGGGTGCTCTTTAATATACTGTACTTACAGACTGAAGGGTTTTATGATGATGACAAGCATCATGCTTTCTGATATATCGAGCTTTAGTCGATGCATATCTCATCTCAGCAGTGATACCGTTGGCCCACGTTGACCATGTTGCAGCGCTCGGCAGCTGTTCCATTAAAGTGTCATTTATTCTGACAACTGGGAGAGACCCGTTCAGAGGACGGGAACTCAGTCAGAAGTTATCCGTTAGGAGCATCTGTACACATACGAAGGAGAAAGTTACCACGCACCCTGCTTCATGTTGGTTCTCTGTGGAGGGAACGTTCACCTGAGCCACTAAACAGAGGCTCACTTCGCCCCTTCGCCATTTTGTAACTTGGTAGTTTTGATCATTGTATACTCATTTTTTTTTTTTAACAAAACAGAGTTAGCAATTTGTTAATTTTTGTTAATTAATAACAGCGGATGAATAAATAATATATATTAGCAGGAGCTAGTTTAGTATCAAAAGGAGGCTACATTTGTCGTATTTCTTAAAGAAATTAACCAAAATGGGAATCGGAAACTCAAATACTTGAAAAAAAATGAAATAAAGTTTTCTGAAAACAAATACTTTTATAAATCTGGCAGATTTAGATTCCATTTTCATCTTTTAATTTGAACATCATATTTCTTCTAGGTGAAACGTATCGCGTTTCAGAGTGGCCCAGGCTGGAATCCAACAGCGCATGTGTCGAATTTACTTTTATCATTGAGAAGGGTATAAATCATTTTTGACATGCCATTTATTTTGTTATTTTATTTTGTTTATTTTTTCAAAAATGTTATTGTCTAACTCTTGAGAGATAGCAATATAACTTCTCGGCAGAAAAAAAAACTTGTTTCAGTGAAAGTAAATTAAAATCTAAATCTGCCAGGGGTATGAAGAGATTTGAGTATTTTTCTGTTCATCATTCATGAAAACACTTCATACTTCTAGACATTGGCCAGGATGATATTTTCATTTTATAACCTAAAGTAATAAAATAACATGGCTTGGCTATAATAAAACAAATTATGTAAAAGTTTTTATTTGCTCTTTTAGATTCCATGTCACAACTATCCATTTGTGACTTGAAATACATTTTCTGTAGGTATGAGAACAAAATAGGGGTTTTAACTAGGCCAGCTGACTGGCAGTGTGCAGCAACACCTGGGAGATGGTCAGCCCTGCTTCGTACCATTGGAAGAAAACTTATCACATTGTCTGGCGTCTTCTGGGCCAGAAAGAGCTTAAAGCGGCAGGTACAAATTAGTGGAGGGGCGAAGTGTCCTGTAGCCGACCCAGAGCGCTCCTCCTCTGCCGAGTCAAACCTGTCGTGGTTCATGTTTCTGTTTATGAAATGCATGATCGTAGCGTGATGTGTGTGAACCTAATCTGAGGTAAACCAAGCGCCGTGTGTCTTGGTCTGTTTACGGTCTGAGAACCAGTGTCTTAGAGGATCGAACAAGTCCGAAAGAAACTGTGTAAACTGAGCTCAAGTGAAGTGAAGCCTTCACTTTCAACCAAAAAGTACAAGGGCCCGAAACTGTAAACCTCAAATATTCTTTAAATTAAAAAAAGAAAGAGAAAAATAAAATAAAACACTTATATCCTTTGTTTAACTTTTTTCCTTTTTTGCAGGCTTTTCAACTATTTGTTGCGTAACCTCTTTTTTTTTTGTTCGTTTTCGCTCAAGTATAATCACAGGTGCCTAACTACAGAGGATAACAGGGTCAGGTGAGTACCATGCTACATCAGATTTAGAGAAGGCTATTGCAGACAATTCTACAACATGTACAACCACATTTTATACGTGTGAGTTACAAAGATTTCAAAACATATCACCAAGAAACTAAGTACATACAAGGTGTTGTATATTTAGAGTCTTAAAGGACTATCCCTCAGTCAGTAATTGGAATTCACGTTACTTGACTTAAACTGTCCAGTCTGACAGACAAAATTGGAAAAACTGCTATTCAAAAAGTAGCAAATTTGGTCAGTGTCTTTTTTTTTTTTTTTTTTCAAATAGTCATAGTGCTTTTAATGGCTTAAGACAGAGGTCTTTTTTTTAATCTCACCCAGTGGCAATCTTCAGAACTTCAGTGTACATTAAATGACACCATAGCTGCAAAAGTCTTCATGTCAAGTCCAATAAGTTAAAACAACAGCTAGCGCTGTCACATACATTTCAAAGTAGTATGCATTATCAAAAGAAAAAAAAACAAACAAAACAAACAAATACATTTTTATACATTTTTTTAAACTCTTAAATTATTGTAGGAAGTTCAGCTTCGTGTTCTCCTCTGCATTCCTGTTTCCAGTCCAAGACGGCACTGCCTCAAGGAGCCAGGCTCCGCTCAGGTCCGGAAGCTTCCATCCAACCTTTCTTCCTCGTTGTGTGCAGCAACAGTCTTTCTGGATGAGACGCAGCAAAGCAGGCCCTAAAACTCCCACTCCAGTGTTTCTTCTCGATTGGCTGCCCTCTCCAGCCTGTGGATGATGTTGTTGAGGTTGGCCATTTTCTCGTTGCGTCTCTGAGTGCTTCTGTTGAGTTTGGGGCTTTGGAACGGAGGAAGCGGGTTAGCGTCCATGCCGTGGTTGGCGCTTGTCACCTGGTTGGGCAAGTAGGGCGATATGGGCGCAGAGGAGGAGGGCACGGGGGAGACGGACATCATGAGGCCGGGTGACGACGCGGCGGACGGCGAGTTCAGCGAGACCTCCAGGCTGCTGCGGCACGGCTCCGACGAAGCCTTGAAGCTGACCGGGTCAACGGGCGACTTCCCGGATTCTTCTCCATCGTACCTGGACTTGTTGGCTCGCTGCGGGCCATCCGCGGACGCCACGCCGAGGTGGAGTCCCTGAATCTGGTTGCACGCGCCCTCCTCCTGCATCGGGCTCTGGCCGGCCGGGTGGAGCTTGCAGCAGCCTGAGGCGGAGTCTTCGTGCTCGGTTTTCAAAGGGGACAACGGCACGGTGGAGGGAAAACACTGCACTCCGACTTCTTTCTGCGAGCCTTCCCTTCCTTCCATGCTGTCCTCTTCCCTGTAAGTTGCCTCCTGTTTAACGTGAGGCAGTTCGTCGGTAGTGCTAAGAGGAAGGCCAGCATGGGTTTGTCCTGAGGGCAGCAGCAGTCTCTTGTCCTCACCATCGGAGTTGGGGCTCCGTGTTACTGAGGGGGAGTAGCTGTTGGGCTCGGCGTCTGTGTCATTATCTGGAAGACCGCCCATCAGCACTTCACGCCTCATCCTGGACCTGCATGTAAACATTTTATTTAGAAAGAGTCTCTAAAAGTACAGACAGAAATATTGAAGTTTGCAGTGCCTTGCAAAAATCTCCGTACTCCCAAAACCAAACAGTTTTTATCAGTATATTACCAAATTACATCAATGTGAAAAGATGTTCAATCTTGTTAACTTTAAGAAGCACTCATTGAATGAAGAGGCAGTTATTTAGTCATATTTCAACAGTTAGGTAGTTTCTCAATATGCTCTACCATAACTGGCCCTTTGAGGACATTCATGATCTTGATACAGTTCAAAATGACTTCGACAACACTGGTCATATCAAATCCTAATAAAATGCACTGAAGTTTGAGGCTGTTGTCAGACTTAACAATCCGAAAACCTCAAGAGGTGTGAATACTTTTAAAAGGACCTGTGTTTTATTCATATACTGAACAGGACAAATACAGTCGGCCTTGCCTGTAGTTGTGGAACCAGTTGATGACAGTGTTGGTTTTGAGGTTGAGCTGCGACGCCAGCATCTCGATGGTGTTCTGGGACGGGTACGGCTCCTGCATGTACGCTTTCCTCAGGGCCTCTTTCTCCTCGGCTCCCAGCACCACCCGAGGCTTCTTTACCTGACTGAAGGGACACAAGTCCAGCGAGGCGAGGGCCGGACTCACACACTCAGAGCGAGTGCTGGGCGAGTCGCTGTCAGAGCCAGTGCTCAGCAGACCGTACCGCCTCTTCAGGTAAGCTAGCAAACACAAACATCCACTGAGATTAGGCTACACAACCAGCACGCAAACTTCAAACTGCGAGCAGGTCTCGGTCCCCACCTTTCTTCTCCATCTTTTTCATGACTCTCAACTTCTCCACGTTGTGCGGATCATTGAGCCATAGCTGCATGCGGACAAAAGGTTCCCGGCCTTTCAGGCTGAGTTTGTGCCAAGGTTTAGGCCTGGAGAGCAGGTCAGACACCGACCCTTGAGTCAGACCCAAGATGGTCTCCCCAAAAAGTCGCTGGCCTGTCAAACCAAGTGGCAGATGTTGCATTAAAATGGTTCCTGCCCCTCCAGAGGGAATATCAGTAAACTCAGACCTACCAAGGTTGTTGTCTGTTAGCACCTCCTTGACCTTCTTGGTGATGGCGTACGTGTCTAGCTCTGGAGACATGGCCACCAACTCCTGGATTCCTAATGGGGTTGCAGGCTGATGCAGGCCCATGAGACTGGAAGTGGATTTCCCACCTTCTGGGTGGCTGGGCAACCCCAAGCCAAGGCTTTGAGGTTGCTGGTTCTCCTTGCTGCTTTCCAGTGAGAGACTGACCGGCTCAGCCACTGGACTCGGGTTGCTCTCTGCTGGACTAGGCGGTGGAGAGGGACAGGACTGGGCTGTTACGGGACTTTTATCTGGAATTAACAACATTTCATGCGGGTTACATTAGTATTTGTCTTCCTGCAAGGCAACTGCTAATGTCAAAAGGTTTTGTTAGTGCAGCATATAAAGTGGTTCTGATGTCAAACTTCCTAAACTATAAGGATGGATTCACACCCATCCAGCTTAGTCCTCTTTAATCAAACTCTTGGAATATCTGACAGGGCGGCCCAGATCGTCAGAACACTGGCGGAGCGAAGTCGTTCCTGATCACTCTGATTTTGAGCACAGATATCAGTGATTCAGAAACTGTCAGAACTTCCAAACCAAAGCCGACAATTTCAGCAAGTTTGTTAAGAAGCAGCCTAACACAAGACGTCACCAGAGCCTTTCATCAACATGGACTAGACCTCCATCATGTTTCTAAATAAATACAACTTTTTCCTCTTCATGATGCTTTTTTTGCCTTCTGAGATTTACACTCTGGAGCAACTTATAGTCCGGAGAATATGGTACTTCTGCATGTTGCCTGTGTGTGGGTCCTCACCTTGAGTGTGGCCCTGGTTGGGAGGCTGGCTGAGGCTCTGGCCCAGCTGGTCCAATAGCCACAGCTGCATGCGGATAAAGGGCTCCCGGCCCTTTTGGGTCAGCTTGCTCCAGGGTTTGGGACGTGACAGCATGTCACTGACGCTGCCTTGAGAGAGGCCCAGAACCTGTTCAGCACAAACAGAATGAGATGTCAGGAATACAAATCTGTCTTTGTGGCTCACCAGGCACAGACACTTCACTGACTTTACTATTACAGATTTTTTTATTCTAAGGACTGTATCACATAAAAGAGAAAACATGAAGGAATTTCCAAATTCCTCCTATTTTTGCATCAAAGTACATTGACCTTATTTTTATATATTAAAGTTGATGCCGTTGGTTAATACCTTTACAAAGAAAGATGGTGAAACTTGTGCTGAATATAGTGGAGGTGCTTAGTTTTGATGCATTTAATGAATATAAATAAAATTATGTTCACTATCTGAGTCAGCCGATCATCAGAAGAGAAGCCTCTTCTAATCGTAATGTTTGTTATTTTCATGGTGAAATGAAATCCTGGTGCTCTAAAGATACACAACTTTCAGTAGAGTGCCACTAGAGGGAGACAGTGTACCACAAATAATTTGTGCATTCTGAAGCCATTATAATTCATATGATTGAGAAGTAAACCCCAGAGCAAAAAATGTGATTTAATAACTCAAAAAAATAACTTCTTTGTTTTTAAAACTCCAGTGCACCTGATTATGTAAGTGTTTTATATCGTATTGTTAAATACCGTGATATATTGATCTATTTGAACATCACTTACTTAAAGGTAAAAGTTGGCCCCCCCCCCCCCCCCCCCCCCCACACACACACACACACACACACTTTTCAAGAACATTCTGAACATTAATTGATCTTCAGTGTTTTCACTGCAGTGTTTAAAACAATACTCTACAGGTAGACAATCCTCTTAATTCACAATTCAACATTTTTCCTTTGGTTCATTTACTCTGACATCATTTGCAGCTATAGAAGTTAGAATTAGGCCACGGGGAGCCCGGAAAAGAAAAACGTTAAAAAATATTTTCAAGTAAAGTTAATCTAAAAGGTTATATAAGCGGTTAGCATCTTACCTGCAGAGGATAACTCTTTTGGCATCTTCATTAAATATAAATCCAGATAAGAATGTCCTGGAGGACAAAGCTAATTGCAAGTCTGGAAGAGGCCAAGAGCGAAAGTTTTACTGTCTTAAGTCAACTCCACACTCAGGAAAATAACAGCAAAAACGTTTTCTGAACTTCTAAACTTTTATTTGCAGTGGGTGGTTATTTACATAAAAGTCAAAGATTATTTACACAGGAATATGTTGGAGGTGGTGAGCCGCCACTGCATGAAACACACCGAGAACAAAACAAATATAAAGTGTTTCTAGTCAGAGTAACTAACTGATGAATATGGCAGAGTGGAAATCTGTAACATGTTGTCTGATTAAACTACTGTAATATTAAGCTTTTTGTACCACTTTCACAACAGAGTTAAACAGAAACTCTACATGTTCTCTTCTAAGGCAAATGTTTCATGTCTAACATAAAATGATCATCTGCTTCTAAATAAATGCAAATTTAACTCTGATGTAAAGGTCTATTAAACAGTGTTAAAGCTAATCACTGAAATGGTTTTGTTATCCGAGTTGGTTCATGACAGCAAAGTTTCACTCTGGTTTCGCTTCAACTTCTTGGACAAACTTGTTTTAGATTTATACTAAATGAAGAAACTAAACGAGTTACTCAACAGACATAAGATATTAACTTACCTGCCAACAACCTAACCTCAAAAATCACAAATTATACATTTAATTACAAAGTAATAGAATCACAATTGAGATTAAATAAAACGTGTATCATAGTTCATGGCAGTAATCAGTTGATTTTGATTGGTGCACCAATAAATATGCCATAATTTCCTTAATTTTGGGAGATTGGTCGATAATTACATGTTCAACGGATTTGATCCACAGATTCAGAGCCACTGTCCACTTTAGCTCTGCTCTGAGAGGACTGACCGATAGACTCACTCACCAGGTCACATCTGTGTGTTAACAATACTGCCAGCTTAGCAACTTTGTTGCTATATCTAGTAACTTTTCAGACAAAAAAATATATACATTTTTTGAAGGGCA